TCAGCTACCACACAGGAAGTGGGAGAAACACACGAGCAGTAGAAGGCTCAGTGGCCTGTGCATTCTGCAGAGATCTTAGCCGGAATTGAAGAGCGCCTCCGCGCGCGCGCACACACACTCTTCGCACAATCCCTACAAGGGGAGGGAGGATCAGTAGCTGCCAAGCACAAGTCCCAGCGCTCATACTCTTGGCAAAGTAAGGGAAGCCTGTGCTGCAAGCCCCGGGGCTGCCTCTGCTTAGGGTTCTTCCTGATCTCTATCCACGAGTGTCATCTGGCGGCTGCGCAGGGGAACAGCGGGAAACGCATGGACCCGTGTCTCAAGAGCGAGGCAGTCAGAGCTAAGGGCTGTCTGGTGATCTGTCTGTGGAGAAGACATTGCTATCTCTAAGACTGTGGACACGGCCTTGGGTTCAGCTCTGAGCAGGGGCAGCTCCGGAGGAGGCAGCATACGGGGGGGGGGGCAAGGGGAGCATTTGTCGTATCTTTCTTTTACTAACCAGTTTGAGTTCTATCATAAATTCATTTACCAAACAAAGGTCCCTAGGCACCTGTTGAAGTGTATAATCGGCTTTGTTTTCAGAACACCATACCCATATCCTGAGATCGGCTTCTCTCCCGGGTGCGCCTGTCTTGTAATTCTTTCCACCTCTGCTCCAGACTCGCTCATCCTACAATTCTTTTCTGTGGTGAGGGTTTGCCTAAGGGGCAAAGAGTTTGGCAGTCCAAGCCTGAGGGCTGCATTAGGGTTGAGAAAGGAGAACAGGGTGCCCGCCCCGCTCGCCCCACCCCTACCCCACCCCACCGGTCTTTCCTCTGGCTGACAAACTCACACCGGCCTCCATTGATCATAGCCTCAGCCCCAGAGACGATTTTCATGGTGGGCCGGAGATAAGGTCTGCAAAACTTTAAGCATTTAAAATGCACGTGGCACTTTAAAAACTTGCCCCCCCCTCAACTCCCACGCGTCAGAGTGAAACTTTCCTGAAGGGATGAATGGGTTAATGAGATTATGCAAGTGACTTGGGGTAGTCTCATTTAGACAGCCCCCCCCCCTGCTCACCAAAACCGTGAGTCTTCTCGGGAGTTCACGTGTAGGTGTGATCATTTCACACCCGCTCAACACTGGTATTTACCTATTAGCTAGGTGGATGCATGAATGACTGAAGGGACACCATGCTGGGGGGAAAAATCATTGAAGAGGAAATCTTAAGGAAAGGGAAACTTTGGGGGGGGGTGCAGCCAGCTTAGTTATTGAAGCGTTTGCCTTGCAAGCATGGAGCAATGAGCTTGGCCCTCGGAACTCACGTTCCAAACACTGAATTAAATTTATAAGCCACCAGTGAGGTGGTGTGCACTTGGGAGTGAGCGGTAGAGAAAGGAGAGAGGCAGATTCCTGGGGACCTGTGGCATAGAAGGTCCCCCGGTTCCAAGGAAACCTCTGAACTCCTCACACACTTTTCCGAAGCTCTGAGATTTTTCAAAGTTATTGGAAATGCACAGCAGTGCATTTGGACAGGCCAGCATTTGGAAAGATACCTCCTACGTGTTTTTCAAAGTAGAAATAAAACAAGCCAGGTTCATCTTTTTTCTGAGGGTGACTATGCAAGTCTGGGTGAGAAGGGAAAAAATCTTGGCTAATGAGGAAGGAAAAAAGAAGGGAAAAAAAAAAAACTGGCACTGAGTCAGACTGGGCGGGGAGAGATCCTGTCTGGTTCCTCCCAGGAAGGTCACCAGCAGAAGCAGGAGTCGAATAAAGCCGGTGCCTTCTCCTGCTTCTGCTGGTGACAGTCCTGGGCCGGCAAGGGTGAGTTCTGGGAAGGGACCTCTGTGGCCCTGGCCTGGGAGGACCTGAGGACACGGAAGACTTGTGTCAGTCGGTTCCTAGTAGTCAGGACTTCTGTGCGCTACCGGAGTTGGACAGAAAAGAACCACGGAGTTCTGCAAAGAAGCCGGCAGAGCCCCGGGAACCCAGGAGGGAGCTCCCCCATCACCTCAGAGAGAGGGGGAGGAGGGGGGGCACTAGGAATGGAGATGGTGAGCAAAACAAAAGACGAAATGCTTGAAGTCACAGCCCAAGTATCTTAGGAAATCTGCAGTCATCCACACGAATTACTTAGGCTTCCTCTCTCTCTCTCAAGCTCAAGTCATGACTGCTGACAGCTGGGAATGGAATAAGGATCCATGGCTTTGGGTGCACTCACTACAATCTGCCTTTTGGCTGTGTTGTGGGCAGCTCCCCCTTCAGGTGAGTTCCTGGGATCTAACTGGGGAGTAGGGGGAGGAGGGTCGAAGACTTCCGCCAGGCCTCAGTGACTAGGAGAACTAGTCTTCCCCATGGAACTGCTCCTGGCCATCTTCAGCCACCCACCACTTCTGCCGGCTCCTCTGGGTCTTAGGCTGGTTTTCTATGTGCTAACTCTGGGGAAATACTTTTCCTATTTGTGGTGATTCCCCTGCAGGCTTTACAGCAGGCAGGAAAGGAAAAGATAATAATGAAACTCATAGCTCAGCCCAATTTTATTGTAAGCGGCGTTGGACCAGGACTTCTAGAATCTGGCGCAGATCATCTTACTTTAGTTCAGACAATAATTAACTCTACCCCAAGTGCACAACAATTTAAGAAATGCTTCTGACGAAGTACATCTGGCATCTTTTATAAGAGTGGATACTGTTGACACAGAGACGGTGACCCACCCAGATTTAGGCTTTGGGAGAAGAACATGCCTGTGGTATCAGGACTGGCCTGGCACAAAGGTAACATAGAAGTATGTCACTGAGGCTGTTGTAAAGCACAGGTGATATCACAAGTAAGAGTCTTGTGGTCTGACGGCAATGCTCAAGATTTAGGGAAGAAGATCTTGGATAAGCAAAAATATAAATTCTGGGAGGTAGGGCAGAGCCTGCTCCATCAGATAGCACGGGGTTACCAGGCTGTAAAATGGCATCAGTCTAGCATTCCAGGGATAGCTCCTGGTTCCCAGTGCTTATCCGTGAGCACAAAGCCCTTTGATCTCTTTATCTATTGTCGCTCAAGTGTGTTGATCTTCTATTAATCATAGATAATTCCTCGGCCCTACACTGATCAGGCAACAGCGATTTTTAGCCAAATTATCACCCATAACCAATTCTTTAATTACTAACATCCAGTCTCATCTGGTTAGATAACCATCTGTCTATATTTAGGATTTTGTGTCCTATTAGCCATGACCACTTTAAGCAGTTAGACTTAAGGTGGGTCCCCCGTACTCACCAATGGACCACTGTCCTTGGTGTCCCTGCATCCTGACCACTCCACGCTGTGGGATTTTTCTGTACCAGATTTGCTGGGATTCAGGAATACAGTCTGCTAACCCCACCCCAGCCCTGAGCCATCACCATCCCTGAGCTCCAGGAAGCTGGTGTCTCCTCCCTGCTCATGCTCACTGTGCTTCTCAGCAGGGAGCCCGGCATCACACAGAGCAGCCTGCACTCTGCACACTCCCCAGAAATGTTCGCACTCACATCCACTCTGGAACATGCTCTTCTCTGAGGGTTTCCACCGCCACTCTTCTGCTGCCAGACTTGACCAGCCTAGATGTTCTTTGTCCTGTAGTGTGGGCTAGCCCATGACCACCTGCAGGAAGCCATCCCCGGAACACTACCTTATTCCCCTGGGATCTGCCAATGGTTTGTTTCATTTTGTTGCTGTGATGAACACACACACACACACACACACACACACACACACACACACACACTACCACTCTACCAAAAGCAATGTACGGGAGAAATTGACTTATTGAACTTCTCCTTCTAAGCCAGAGAAGCTCAGCAGGAATATGGAGGATGCACCTTGCTGTCTGCATCACCAACTCCTACATAGCTAGATTTCTTCTCCAGCCAGAGACCATCTGCCCAGGGAATGGTGATGCCCACAGGGGCTGGGGATTCCTACATCATTAACAGCCAAATCAGCCTGTTGTGGTCTATATTTTCTCTTTTTACTCTTTTTCTTTTATGTTGGACCCGCCACCCAACTCCCAAGTAAATCACACACAGAGGCTTATTCTTAGTTATGAGTGTCCTGCCTTCACTTGGCTTTCCTTTAACCAGCTTTTCTCTCTGGGCTTTTATCTTTCTTACTTCTATGTATCTTACTATTTTTCTTACTCCATGGCTGGCTGGGTGGCTAAGTGGCTGCCCCTAATGTCCTCCTCTCCTTGTTCTCGTGATCCTCTTCCTCACCTCCTCTCTGCCTGCCAGCCCTGCCTGTCCTTGCTCCTGCCTTGCTATTGGCCGCTCGGCTCTTTATTAGGACCATCAGGTGTTTTTAGACACACAAAGAGTCACAGCTTCACAGAGTTAAACAAATGCAGCATAAACAAAAGCAACACAATTTAAAATAATATTCCACCGCAACAGTTCCTCCATAGACACTCCCTTCATAAGTGACCTTAGGCTGACAGTTAAAGCTAACGAGCAAAGATGTTCAGGTCAATGAACTCACGGGAGAGATCATTCAAAACGGTCTCCATACAACCTCTGCTCTATCTTCTGCCTGCTCCATTCTGGCCCCCACCAGCGTCACGCACCATCCTGTCTCCACTGTCTACGTGGGCAGGTTCTGGAGATTCTCCAGCACAAACAGATCTAAAAGGGACATCCTGAACTTTACCTTCCATAACTGACAGGGCCTACTCCTAGCAAAAGCATGTGATAACAGATAAGACAATTGTCCAAGTGGAGAGCGGGGGTTGGCCACACCTTGATCTGCATCTTCAAGCAAGAGACAATGACTGCCTATACTTTAGTCAGGGCAATGGAAGCTAGGCAGGGGTATTATTTATATATTTATGTACTTTTTCTTTCTTCTTTTAAATGCACTCTTCCAGAAGACATTCTTGTCCCACGGGGATTGTCCCTTGTCCCACGAACAGAGACTGTCCCTTGTCCCACGGGCAGAGACTGTCCCTGAGCCCCTGCTCCCATCCCTAACCTCACTGCATATTTCCTTCACAGATGCTGCCTCTCTTTGCTACAGCTTCACTGTTGGCAAGTCAGGGTCTGGAGCATGGAGGGACAGAGTCCAAGGCCAACTGGACGGAGAGACCTTCCTTTCCTACAATAGTATCAACAACTGTCATGGCTTTGGTGTTCTGGGGAACAGACTGAATGCCACAAAGATCTGCGAAAAACAGCTTGACACTCTGAAGGATGGACTTCACCTGATCAAACACCAAGTGATTCATATGATGCAGGAGAATAATTCCATCAGAGGTAACTTTCCAATGACTGGGAATGTAGTACAGTGGTAGGGTGCTTGCCTAGCATGAATGGCGCCATAGGTTCAATCCCCACTGCCACAAACTAAATGAAAGAACATATCAGATGGTCCCCTGTAGGAAAGTACAGGGTTTTGACAGGTTAAGGACATTCATTGTTTTCATTAATGAAAAAAAAAATGGATAACTGGTAGTCCCTCTTACCTAAGATGTCCATCAGCAAGGTGAAAATGTGGAGGGGAAAACAAGGTCAGAGACTGGGAAGACAGGAGGGAAGGTAGACAGGATTAATCAAGGCCAGAGACTGATCTCTTTCCAATGGGCACAGAGGCCCTCATTGTGCAGGCCAAGATGTGTTGCTGGCATGAAGGAGATGGACATTTCAATGCATCCTGGGATATTGGCCTCAATGGACACCAAATGTTGCACTTTGACCCAAGCACTGGAAAACTGTCTGAAGTTGGTCCTGGATCCAACGGGATTAAAGAGATGTGGGAGGAAGACAGGGATGTCACTGACTTCTTCAAGATGACCTCACAGGGAGACTGTAGGTCCTGGCTTGAGGAGATAGAGTTGCACTTGGAGAAAAAGCTGGAGCCTACAGGTAACTGGGAGGATGAGAGGAAGCTCTCTGCAGATGAGGGGTGTGTGTGTGTGTGAGAGAGAGAGAGACAGAGAGAGAGAGAGAGAGAGAGAGAGAGAGATAACCTAATCACAATGAGTTCTTGGGTTAATATTCATTTTTTCCATCATTCATTTCCTTTCTCACCCTCCCCTACATCATTAATCGTGATTACATTGATCACTCACTGTGGTTCTCACTGACTGTCACAGTCTAAGCATCCCTTTACTTCCTGTCCTTTTCCTCACTCTAGAATCCCTGTTGCTTGTCATCCCACCTGACCTTCCTCCTTCCCCGCCCCCATCCTCACAGGGCATCCACCCTCATGCCTCCCCCTCCCCCCAACCCCCACCCCCCTACCCCCGCCACAGTGAAGATGAGGGCCCACCATCACACTGCTTCCCCTAACATAGCTGCATGGGGCTTCTGAGGGCAGGGACACCCCCTCTCCCTTCCTACCCAGTTGTTGCCTAGCAACAGGGGAGGGACTCTGTGTGGTGCTGAACTCCCTGAGCACACAGAAGCTAAGGAAGGGGAGATTCCCTCAGATGTGAGGTCTGGATAAAGACTCAGTTTATGTTTCCACTTCAGCCTCACCAACAGCTGCTCCAGATGTGAGCCAGCAGACTGTGTCACTGGCCATCAAGCCCAACATCTCAGCCCTGCTGATAATCCTCACCTGCTCCCTCCTGTTTCTTATCTGAGGGGAATCCTTGACAATGACAGGTACTGAGTGAGGGCAGTGTTGGGAGTGGGGTGAGGGACAGGTGGGTCAGGAGAGAGGAGGCAATTCCTATGGTCCTGCTCTTGTTCCTACACTGCAGTACTGCACTGCGAACAGAGGCAGGAGATCTGGCTGGCGTTCAATAGCTTGTGCATCCTCAGACTTGACAGGACAGGAATCCTTTCCCAGAGCAATGGGGAATGAGGAGGGGACATAGCAGGTGACTGATCAGACCACATTCCTAATCAGCAGGGTCCCGTGATTCAGACTAGGAGACAGCAGGACACAAAAGGGCGTGGTGGTTCCTCTTAGTGTGTACATGGGACAGGGCTCCGCTCCACAGACACAGATGGAGAAGATATAAATAATGAGATGCTACAGCGGCAAGACCACTTGCAGCTCTTACATCAGACCTGGGTTCTGTTCCAGCACCCACATGGCAGCTCACAACCATAAAGCTCCAGGCCCAGAGCAACCAGCCCCTTCATCACCACAGACCCCAGGCATTCACACAGCGCACTTACAGACCTGCAGGCTCACACTCATACACATGAAATAGAAGTGAATTGAGCAGCAGCAGCTTCCAGTCCTCTGGAGCAGGGTCCCCACTAACATCTGGTGGGGCTGAGCTGCTGCTGGAGTCCACTGCCCTCACCTGGATGCCCAGAGGGACAAGGCAGGGCAGGGACAGTCACACCCTCCTCTGTGTGCCACTCTCAGACCCTGAGAGTTTTAGAATCAAAGGGAAATCGTGTCTGCAACCCACCCAAGGCCTGGGTAACCAGGTCCCAGGCCCCTTGATGGATGGAGGCCTCCCTGCTCCTCCGGCCCCTCCCATCAGGCCTGAGTCAGGAAGCAGAGCTACTCATTACCTCTTTATTCTGAATTTCCAAGTCTGCAGCCCAGCCTGGAGCTGACTCTGGGACCTGGGAAAGGAGGAAGACAGTACAGGATCCAGGATGGAGAGCCCAGGGGGGATGGAGCAGGGAACTGGATGACCCTCAGTGAAGGAGGCTGTGGGGTGGAGATGTCTGGGCACAGGGCACCCAGGAGAACTGACCCAGGTTACCCTCAGACCCTTCAAGTTGTGTTTCCTTGCTGCAGGCTGAAGATGCTCCGGAGAATGTCCTTCATCTGGTGCAGCCCCTCTCCCTTCCCATCAGCTAATACAGAGTTTCTATTGGCCCTAATCCATGTCTGAGTGGTCTTCTCTGGTGAATGCCCCACAACATTGCAGTAAGTCCCATGGATATCCCATCAGATGTATCAGAATCCCTTGGGACAGGGAAGAATGTGATGGCCAAGGAGGTCCTAGGGCTGTGGGTCTCATCCCCTTTGGGGGTTGAAGTGCCCTTTCGAAGGGGTCACATACTAGATACCCTTCATATCAGATATTTATGTTACAATTCATTACAGGAGCAGATTACAGCTATGAAGGAGTGACAAAATAATTTTATGGTTGGGGGCAGCACACTATGAGGGATTAACTGTATTATAGAGTCACAGCATTAAAGAAGGTTGACAAACACTGTCCTAGGAGCTGTGCAACCTGAGTTCCAGGTCCCCAGGGCTCCCTTTGATCAGTTGCTGCCTAGTGCTTCAGAGGAGTCTGATGTCTCCACCACAAAGGGAAACAAATTAGAAAGTGCCTGGTCTATTGAGTCTGGGGTGAGTGTGGTTAATGTGCCTTCTCTTTGGACACACAGGAGAGATCTCACAAGGCCACTTGCCCAGTGTCAAGAACCCTGTGAGAAATGCACAGTGATCACCAGTAGTTGTCTTCCGATCTCTCTCTCTCTCTGTATGTGTGTGTGTGTGTGTGTGTGTGTGTGTGTGTGTGTCTGTATATATGTAGGTCTGTTTCTGTAAATTCTGGCTCTCTCCATTGAACAAGGCTTTCGCCTGTGTGAGAATGCCCTGGCTTAAGACCCGGGCCCCCCTCCTCTTGGGGACCTGGATCTTTTCTGGTTCTGCCAAGTCATCCAGAGAGAAACAAACAAACCAGAACCCCTCCACCTACCTGTCCCACTGCTGACTGGGGCACAGTCTCAGTTGACTCTTTGCCTCCTGCTCCTGGTCAGGGCTGGTGTCTGTGTGGAAGTGAGGAGAGGCCAGGCTTCTCATGCAGGACCCTCTGCTAGGGAAGTGGAATGCACATTGGGAGGGAAAATCATCCCCAGGACAGCTCTCCCTGCTCTCCATGTCTGCTCTAAGCAGGGAAAGGGGACCCACCAAGAACTCCTTCTCTTCAAGACTTATGTCCTCTTTTCAACAAATGGTCAATATGATTGTAAAACTCATAACCTGCCATTCTCTGAAAAAGAGAATGGGAAAGAAAATGGCCCCAAGCTCTGACAGGGGCATCACTGACAGATACTGCAGCCTGGAAAATAGATTTTCTCTTCTGACCAACACTGACCAAGGACACGTCACAATTTTCAATACATAATTTTAGGAAGATTAAAGATAAAAGCTGAAATGATTTCATCACCCAGTCGACGCCATATAATAGAAAAAAAAACCACAAACTTTTAAAAGTATGAGGAGGTTCCAGGTGCTGGAAATAGCTCAAATGTATTGGACAACAGAGAACTGATTGGGACAAGACCCTTCACACAAACTGAAGGCATCATCACCTTCTCTGAAGATGACACAGTAGTTAATTTACAGACACCCAGCAAAATGTTGCTATCTTATCCTATGTCAGGAGACTCTCTCCCAGATGAAAGCTCTGCCTCCAATCAAAGATACAGTTGGACTTTGGTTCATATTGACAACTAAGATTCCACAAATGGGACATCTATATCATGTTCCCTCAGGAAGGCTCATGTTCCATCAAGAGGATGAAATGCCTGATTCAGTGTTTATAGTGGTACCTTTTTCTTTCTTTAAGGATTTATCGTTGTTTTATATGTATTCGCCTGTAATCTTATCGTGTGTTTATGGGTGTTTTGCCTGCATATGTGGCCCATGTACATGCATTGCTGGCAGAAGACTAAAGAGGCATCTGATCCCCTAGAACTGGAGTTACAGTTTGAGCCACCATGTAGGCGCTGAGAATTGAACCCAAACATCTAGAAGAGCAGTGATCTTAACCACTGAGCCATCTCTCCAGTCCTTAAAATAATTTCTTTTACAAACCCACAAGTTGGGGTATGGTGAGGACAGATCTCTAAGGCGCGAGGGAAAAGTGTTGGCCATAAACATGATCCAAATACACGTATGCAGGCATAACAATCTCAAAGAATAATGGCACTCTGTTTAGAAGTCGTATTGAAATACAGAGACCCACAGCCAGAAATTGAGCAGAGAGTGAGAGGCCTCGGAACACTCAGCACTAAACTGGATATCTCCAACAAATCCACCCTCTCAGAGGAACCTTCTGAAAGAGGAGGCAGGAAGAGTATAGGAGTCATGGGGAATGGTGGGCACCTAGAAAGCAAGGCTCTCTGCATCAGCCTGAGAAAAGCTCATAGGAACCCCAGGGACTGGAGCAGCATGCACAGGGCCTGCAGGGGTCTGCACCAGGTCCCCTGTGCTTACATTACGGCTTCGCATTTTGTGTTTTTATTGGATTCCTAACCACATGAACAAATGTATCTGTGGCTCTTGTGCCCTCTGCTGGGCTCTTTTCCTTCTGTTTGTGTTGTAGTGATTCAATGTGATAGCTTTTGTTTGATCTTGGTACATTTTTTTAAACTTTACTTAAGCACTGCCTGTTGTAGCAATGTCTGTCCTGGGAAAAGGTCTAAGTGTACTTGGAAAATAATACCGGTTGTGTTTTTCTATGCATAGTTTTGGGTCTAAATGACCTATAGTAGAGGCCCAAGTCCTGATTCCTCACTTGGAAGGATATTTACCTTACTGTGATGTGCAAATGACCAATAAGTCTATGACAACATTCACCGATATTTAGTAGTAGGAAATGCAAATTAAAATAACAGTGAAATAGGTACTTCTTATGTATTAGGTAGCTACTTAAAAAAATAAATATCCTCAAGGATTTGAAAAAAGGTATGTCTCCTGTACTGTGGTAGGTTTTTGTTGTTGTTATTGTTGAGACTGGAATTTGCTATGTAGACCAGGCTACCAATCTTTTATTTTTCATGCCATCAAAGCTGGTAGCACACCAGTGTTGCTCACACATTGCCAAGTTCAGCTGCCACTTCATGATGCCACCTGGCCAATCTGATTTGGATTTCTCTGTGCAGACTCTGGGGAAATACTTTCTTAATGCCCCTCAATGGTTCTGATCTCATATTAATCACAGATGATTCCTCAACCCTAGCCAGATTGGGCAACATCAATTCTTAGCCCAAATATCACACTGATAGCCCCATCCCAATTCTTCATAAAGCCCTTGCTTCCCCCCCCCCCAGAAACTTCTGGAACTGGTCTTCCATTCTCCACATTAATATCAGAATTCTTATTTTCCAAGGACCCACAAGAATGACCCACTTAACTCTTGAGTGTTCAGGAGTGTTTCTGGCTTTGAGCGCTCATATATGCTCAAGACACATCCAGTGTTTCAGTTCACTTCCTGTTGCCTGCCAATCAAGATGTAGAATTCTCAGCTCCAGCACCATGTCTGGCTGTATTCTGCATCCCTCTCTACCATGACAATAATAGACTAAACCTCTGAACACCCCAATTATTATTATTATTACTTCTTTATGAGAGTTGTCATAGTCATGGTGTCTCTTCACAGCTTTAGAAATTTTAACTAAGACAGTTGGATACTGGTTCTGAATTGATGCTGACCCTGGGACATCCCAGGAAACTTTGCTGCCCTCCAGTTAAAGTAGGGGCTTATGGAGGTCAGGTGGTTAGTGGAGTTTTGGATAAAGTCTGACTCACAGTCAGGCCTGTGGTCCGAAAACTCATTCTATGTTGGTTTCCCCATCCCGGAATGTATAATTTGGATAGATGTGCTTAGAAGTCGGAAGAATTCTCACATTGATCTGTGAGGTGAAGGTTATTATGGTTGGAAATGCTAAATGGAAGCCTTTAGAGTTTCCTCTGCCTAGGAAAATAATGAATCAAAAACAGTATCACATCCCTGGAGGGACTGTAGAAATTAGTGCCACCGTGAAGAACTTGGAAGATGTGGAGGTAGAGGTTCCCATCACATCTCCTTTGTGGCCATTGCAAAAGACAGATGGGTCATGGAGAAGGAAAGCTGACTATAGAAAGCGCCATTGAGTAGTGACTCGGATTTCCACTGCAGTGACAGATGCGGGGCCCTTACTTGAGCAGACGTGGCCACAGCACAGATCAAACCTGAGCCCCAGATAAGGCACCATTTCTGGTGTGACAAGCCACGCAATCTGGTGGCAGACTGACTTTCTTAGAGCACTGCATCCATGGCACAGACAATGCTTTGTACTTAGTGGACTATGAAGAGACCTGAATGACCTGGGAGCAAGGGACAAAATCGTGACGATTGTCTTAGCCCCAAATCTTCACCCACTTTTGCCTCCCTGCGTGCACTGTTGAAGTAACAGAAGGACAGATAGACTCTTCTTATAAACAGATAGTCCTCTGAAGCTCAGCCATCTTAGGACACTTAAACCTTGACCAAAGGTAATGTGACTCTGTTTAAAATCCATTTTTTTAAATTAATTCAGAGCCTAACAAACTCAGTGAGAATAAAAGCAATGGTCTTCACCAACAAGGTATTTGTTTTTAACCTCTACCTTTCTTTTTCTTTGTTTAATAATTTTTCTTTGTTGTTTGTATGTTTTCCTTTTTTTTTTTTTTTTTTTTTTTTTTTTTTTTTTTTTTTGAGAGGCAGCCTCTCTCACCTTGTGGCTCTGGCTGGCCTGGGGTTTACTGTGAGGACCAGGGTGGTCTCAAACTCACAAAGATGTACCTGCTGTCCTCCCAAGGGCTGAGGATAAAGGTATAAACCACCACACCCAACCCCCTGTGCTTTTAAAGTAAATTTCACAAACATTCTTACACCCTATTTAATCATTTCCTCCCCACCCCCACCCAAGTCCTTTCTCTCCATCTCCTGGTTACTTTCTGTCTTACTTTCATTTTTTAAGTTCTTGATATGGTTTAGGATTTTCTCAAAAAAGTCACAAAGCCCTTGACACCGGCCACATCTGATTGCTTTTTGTCCTTTAGTAACAGAAGTAAGTTTATTTAAATACTTTATTATAAAGAATTTGCATGGAACTTAAAAACAAATTACTA